AATATTTCGATGTGTTACAAACGGAATGGGTATACAAATATTTTTTTCATAGATATTCCACTCGCATCCCATTATGGGAATATAAAGCCCTTAAAGGAAATTGTATAAGTTTTTTTAAGCAAAACAAAGGGTCCATTTTGAAAAAAATTAAAAAAAAAATTTTGTTTAAACAAAAATTAAAAAAAAAAAAAATAACAAAATTTTGAAAACAATGAAGAAATAGCTATCTGAACTCCTTTGTACAATTTTTGCTAGGACAAGGAGCAGAGTTTACCTTTTCACCTATTGGTCCTAGAAAGCTTAGACCATTTCCTTTAAGAACTTGGTATAGGTGAAAAAAATTATATTTTAACTCAAAAACTTTGCTTTTTGATTTTAAATAAATATGAGTAATCACAAAGCTGTATCTGACCTATTTCCCAATAGTACTTGGTGCAAATTTCGTCAAAATTAATTTTTTGAGTTGGGTCACTTGGCATGAAATTGCCCATATGTAAAACGTTTCATGTTTTATTTTATTTATATGTGTTTTTTTTTTACTTTTACCTTTAAAGAAGGATAAACATATTTTTGCATCATGATATGAATTCGAAAAAGCATGAGCAAGAAAAAGCAACAAATTCAAAAAATCTAAAAAAGAACCAAAAACACTCAACATTTTACATTTTGAAACATTTAATCTCTGACAGCTCGTTACTTTGTTTGGTTGAGTGTGAAATTCATGAGGTACCATAATCCGTGATATGGATCTTGCATTTTATTATACGTCTTTCGTTTATCTTTTATTTTTGTTTTTTACTATTTCTTTCTACTCTATATTACAGTTTTAAGTAAACAAAAATATATAAGCGAGTGGGATGGACTTTAATACCTACTTTATATGGAAATTTATAGTTCTTTGCTGGAGTATACATCTGTCTGTTGACCCCATCAAATGTTCATTTTTTCATTCGACTGTTGTTGTTTTAGACAAAATTTCATTTAAAATTCGCAAAAAGAAAAATAAAGATTTGTTTTATCTCTAACTCTTACAACATGTTGGCTGATTCATAGTTTTTTCTGTATATTTGATTTTTTATCATTGTTAGCTCAATCTGTTTGTAATGAATTTTATTTAAATTTATTTTGTTTTTTTATATCAACTTGTTTATTTCGATTGTTTAATCTATTTAAAATTTATTTGTTTACATTATTTTTCCATATTATGCTTACTTTCACGTTAATCAATCTGAGTGTATGTATGTGTGCGTTTTTTTTTTTTTTTTTTTTTTTTTATTGAATTCATTAGTAATCAAAAAAAAGCCTTGTTTGGCCTATAAATTACATAGATGCCTTATAGAGTAGGTGTAAATAAATTTTATAAGTATATATTATTTTTTTTATTTAAACTTATAACTAATTCTAATTGCACGAATATGTATATAAAGATTTAAAATAATAATATGTAAAGTCCATAGTAGCCAAATTTATGATGTTTATTATACATGATTCTTAAATAGTTCTTGAAAGTTGTGTAAGTTTTGTGAAAAATTGCGAGCATCATAAGGAATAATATTATTCCATAGCCTACATATTCTGGCAGAAAATGACCGGTGCATATAAAGAGTATTGATTCTGGGACATATTATTGCAGATGTTCGTGTTGAATGAGAAAAAGAAACAAGATCTTGTAGATATTGAGGACTTCCATTTTTTTTTATTTTGTAAAACAGAGTAATTAATCTAAAATCTATAAAGTCCCTAAAATCTAACCCAAGAAAGTCTCTAGTTTCAGCTGACACATGTGCTCTAAAATCTAACTTATAGACAAATCGTATAACTCTGTTAAAGGATTTTCTCAATTTAATAATATTTCCTGCTGATGTGGATGAGTATATCTCCATACCATACATAAATATAGGCATTATCAGAGTTTTAGCAATTAGTTTCCTAATTTGAAAGGGAAAAAAATATCCAAGTGTATTTATTTTCTTAAGAGTCATCGATACTTTAGAAATAATATTATGTATATGATTTTCAAATGATAACTGATCATCAAGATGAAAACCCAAGGACTTAAATTTTGATACATATTCAATATCTACTCCATTTAATTTTAGCGGTGGTAAGTATCTAGTACTATTACCAAATCTCATTGCATACGTTTTCAAGGGATTTAGGGATAGTTTATTTTCATCTGACCACATAGAGATAAGGTTTAAATCATAGTTAAATAAATTAATGAAATCAGATATGGATATATTCCCATTCGTACTAGCAAACAGCTGTATATCATCTGCATAATTTTGTGCATTACAGAAAGAAATTGAGCTATGAAGATCATTTATAAACATCATAAACAGTAACGGAGCCATAATGGAGCCTTGAGGTACACCGTGATAAATCCTGGCATATCCTGATGATCTGTTATCAACTTTCACAAATTGATACCTATCACACAGAAATGATTGTATCAATTTACAAACTGAATTAGAGAACTTAAATTGATTGCGTAACTTTCGCAATAACAATACATGATTAATGGAATCAAAAGCTTTCCTAAAATCTAGAAAAACAACAACAGATCCATGATTTTGATCTATGCTTTTTCTAATTTTCTCAGTAACATCTAAGACTAGTGTGGTTGTGCTATGACCAGCTCTAAATCCCGACTGACGCGGCGATATTAGAATATTTTGGTCCAGGTAATTTACAATTAGTTTATTCATCATTACTTCCATTATTTTACTACAGATTGGGAGGATACTTATAGGTCTAAAGTCCGTGAGATGCCTAGGATTTCTTATCTTGGGAATTGGAACTATTCTAGCTAGTTTCCAATTATTTGGATATGCATTAGTCATCAAAATTGTATTGTAAATATGTGTGAGAGGTTTAATAATATAAGGTAGGATAATACGTAGAAATCTAATGCATATACCATCCGGACCAATGGATTTAGATTTAATATAAGATACAGCGTGAATAACATCATTTTCATCAAACCTTCCAAAATCAAAACCATTGTTCATTCTATTGTCATAAATAAATGTATCTCTAATAGAATCACCTTCCGGTACTATAAAACTATTATTTAAAATGTCTAAATCTTGAAAATTTTCACAATTTCCCTTAGCTATAATACCCGTAGATTTCAGTTTATCCCAAATTCCACCTGGTACTTCAGCACTAAAAAATTGTTTGGCCGCTTTTTTTCTAATTTTCCTTATAGTCATTTTCAGTTTATTGCGGTACTTGCAAAAAATTTTCCAACAATTGCTGTTCATATTTTCCTTATAAGCTTTAAATGCTAAATTTCTTAACTCCTTTGCCTCATTTATCTCCCTGCAATTAAACCAGTTTTCATTTCTACGTATATATTTTTTTTTTATAGGAATATGGTCATTATATAAATTTAATATAAAGTGATTAAACTGATCTACTTGACTATTAGTATCAGAAGTTCCGTAAATACCATCCCAATTTATATATTGTATATCTCTTTCGCAGTTAGTCAAATTAATGTGCGCATAATCTCTATAAAATATGTAATCAGGGGAGTAATTCATTTTAAGAGATATCGATATGTAAATTAGAGCATGGTGAGAATTTAGACCCGGAATTTGAAACTGTCCTGAAACTTCAAGAATATTAATGTCAGATATTAAGAAAAAGTCTATAAGTTTGGTAACATGATAGTGACTATCAAAATGAGTTGGCAAACTGTTATGAACTAAGTGTAGGTTGTGATCATTACAAAAATTTCTTACCAATGCACTATTTTCAAATATATTTGTATTAAAGTCTCCCATAAATACACTATATCCATACTGAGCCGACAAATCAACAATAAGATTTTCGCATAATGCAAATCTACCATGAGGTAGATAAATAACTCCTACAAGTATCCTCGTAGTTATATTAATTTCGATTTCAATAATAAGTGCTTCACAGATACCTTCATCCATGACTTTATGTATAACCCTTGACTTAAGTTTGCTAGAAATGTATATACATACTCCGCCACCCTTTCTGATAATTCTATCATTCCGATATAATTTATATCCATCAATACTTACTGCCATATCCGGTAAACTTTCTCTGAACCACGTCTCACTAATTCCAACTACATCTAAGTAGCATCCTTGCAAAATCTGCCTTACTTCTTCTATTTTTGCTGAATTTCTAGATGGGGAAATGCTTTGCGCATTGAAATGACCGATATTAAGATTACCTTTAATTAATTTATTTCTTAATATTGTATTATCACTGGCTACAGGACCTATATTATTATCATATGAATTCAATGTAAAAGAAAATACATATTCGTGCAAAAAGAACATTACTTAAAAAGTAATTAATATTTCTAACTAATATTATACTATAAATTTGAAATACTGACATTTATTATTTTAAATAAACATCGTAATCCGTAAAAAAAACTAATTCAGCATATTTTTATATTTCAGAGTGCAATATTAAGTAGTTATTTTCTTTGGTTTATACAATGTTCTATGGATTTTTATTATTTATTTTGTTGTATATCTTGTATAAGAAAAATAATTGAAAAATTCATCTTTAAATTAACTTTTATTTCACATTTTTTGATATTTTATCATTTTTACATATTTTATTTCAATAATATAAATCATTATTTTTATAGTTATAATTAAACAAGTTTTAGTCTTTTTGTATGTTTAAAAATAAAAAATATATATATATCAAAAGAAAAAGAAAAAAAATAAAAAAAATTTAAAGAAAGAAACAAATATATTTATAATGGTAATAATAAAAATTATGACAATTTATAATATTGATTAAATTTTATGTGTGTTTATAGTTTGAGAATAAAAATTATTAACACCGTGTAGAATATAAGAAAAACAACAGTATAAAATAATGAATTAACGAGTAATAATAGAATGTAATTGAGAAAAAATAGTATTAATCACAAAAAGTAGAATACAATTTTAGATAAAGATATAATTGAAAAAAAAAAATAGTATTAATCACAAAAAGGTAGAATACAATTTTAGATAAAAATATGGTAAGGAACATGTAAGTAAAATAATATAAAGAAATCGAGAAAAATATGTATAAGAAAAATGTTAAACATATTATGAAATGTAAATAATCAATTAATATATAAATGTACAATTTAATTTAATAAGGCTCCACATTCTTCTAACGTTAGAATCTTCTCAGATCCATTTTTAAATGTAATTTTTCCTTTTGGGTAATCATAGTTTAGTAGTTTAAATCTTTCTATTTTTTTCTCTCGTATGAGCTTTCTGCCAAGATATTTTAGTTTTGATGCCGCTGCAGTTAAATTATCGTTCAGGAACACCCTTGCCTCAATGTCACAATCTTCATGTTCCGTGGTTTCGACTGAGTTTTCATCCTTGTTATCGTCAATATCTTTAAATATTCCACGAATTTGATTTAGTTTTAAATCATATTTCTCTTGATATTTTCGCATAACAATGTCTCTTTTGGCTATGTTGTTGAATTTAATTAATACAGCTTTTTTATTATGAATCCAACAAATAGTGTTAATTTCCGTGTCCTTTAATTCGATATTATAGTGTTTACAGATGCCCATGATTACATTAATTAAATTTTTGGATTTTATTTTTGTTGGTATTCCATTAACAATTATGTCCGCCCTGTTTATTTGTTTACGTAGAGAGTTGTTCTCCATTTCCAATTGCTTAAATTTTTCAGAGGATTCTTTTTCTAGTGTGTTAACTTTTTCCACACAGCTGTTAAGTTTGTTGGAAATGTCATCTAATTTAGTGGACATTTCTGCAGATATTTGCACCGGAATGTCTTGAATACGTGCCTCCATATCGCAGAGCTTTTCAGCAATATCACTTAGGTTTATTTCTTTTTTAGATTTACACAACATGCATTTGTATAGTATATCTTCACTGTTATTACTTACATATTTGGCTGCATCAGGATTTAAACCAGGTGAATTTTCAATTGCACAATTCATATGTAGACTTTTTTTACAAAAACTACATTTAATAACCTCATCAGTTCGCTTAAGAGGATTTTTACACTTTGTACAATTGGCATTTGATATAGCAACTTTGGGTGGCATTTTTATTAATATATATGTATATTTTTAATTATGTATTCTTAAGTAACAAAAAATTTTTAAAATTTTTAACCGGCCAGCTTGTTTATTTTTTTTTACCGTGTTTTAATTTTATTTAAGTAGTTCAGTTCACTTTATTTCATTTTCTCTTTTTTATTTCATTTGGATACATAAGTATTAATTCAGCTGTGCGATATGGCTTTTTCTATTCCTTTATATGTTTGTTTCATTATTAGTTATTCAGCTTTATTTTTTTTCCTCTGCTGTATTCATTTATTTCACTTTAGTGCAGTAATTCAGCTGTATGTTTATTTCTTTGTGTTTTTATTTCTTATGTTATCCTCGTTGTTTCAACTGATTTGTTTTTTAGAAAATTTCTTTTTCAGCGTGCTTTATTTTATTCTTCTTTTCTCGACTTTGCTTTAGGCATCACTTTTCAATACACTAATTCAGCTGCTTATTTGATCATGCACATATTAACTTTTCATATTTCTTATCTGTTGTCTCACTTTAGTTGTTTTTATTTTTCATTTGCCTTTTTGCTATTATTTCTTAAATAACTTTGCTTAATTTCTTGTTTGTCCTATTTTAGTGCAGTAATTCAGCTGTTTGTTTTATTTATTTATTTTATTTCTTATGTTACACTCGTTTTAGGATAGAGTTAAGCAACAAGGAGTATTTCTTTCTTTTGTTTTGTAACTGATTTGTTTTTAGAAAAATTTCCTTTTCAGTGTGCTTAGCTTTATACTTCTTTTTCTCGACTTTGCTTTAGGTATTATTATTCAGTACACAATTTAGCTGCTTTTTAACTTTTTATATTTCGTATGTTGTCTCACTTTAGTTGTTTTTTTTTCATTTGTCTTTTAGCTATTATTTCTTTAATCACTTTGTTTATTTTGTTGTTAGTTTTGTTTTAGTTTATGTATTTTTAAATAACAAAAAGATTTAACCGGACCAGTTTATTTACATTTATTTCGCATTGTTTTTATTTAACGTTCAGTGCAGTAATTCAGTTTACGATAGAGTTGAACAATAAAATGTATTTCTTTGCCTTTGTTTTTTAGAAAAATTTCTTTTTTCAGTGTGCTTTACTTTATTCTTCTTTTTTCGAATTTGCTATAGGCATTACTCTTCTGTACACTAATTCAGCTAATCAAATAGATCATGCACATATGTTTAAATTTTTATATTTTTATGTTGTCTCACTTTAGTTGATTTTTTTTTTTTTATTTTATTTGGGTTTTTGCTATTATTTGTTCAATCACTTTGCTTAATTTCTTGTTTATTATATTTATTTTGTTTTTGTCTGTTTGCAATTTAGATAATTTTATTGTAATAGTGTTTTGTATTGTTTTATGAGTCAATTTAACTATATATTAATTAGTTGCTAAATAATTTCTCCCTTTTGAGTATTCTTATGTTGCATAATACATTAAATTATTTCTATCTCACTTCATCTGTATTATTCAGCAATATCAAACACGTTTTTCTTTTTTCTAAGAACTGCAGTAATTACTGAACCTAAATTTGATTATACTTTTTATATACATAAATGTTTGAATTTTATTATTACTTTATATTTTACATAGAATTTTATGCACTCTTTATATTTATTTCTTAATTTCAGTGATAATAGTGTATTTTAGCCCAAATTAACAGATATTTTCTCTTAGTTATATGCTGAATTTACGGATCAACGAAAAAACACGTCCTACTCGTTTGACATTTTTTAGCTTTTTTCTATTTTTTTTTTTTTTTTTTTTTATATATTTTTTTTTTTTTTTTTTTTTATTTTTATATTCTGATTCCCTGCCATATGTTTTCAGTAGTTTCACCCTTTTTCCGTTTTCGTTTTAACTCTTATATGTGATATATGTGTGTATGTAAGTTTATTGAATGAATTTTCTATATATCAAATGTCATGTTTCACTGCATCAATTCTGAGATATGTTCATTGATTTTAAAATTTTCAGTTTTGTTTCTTTTGTTTTGGTTTGCAGACTATTTCTAATATGTGTTGGAAATGCATATTTGTCCATAATTGTAATGCATTATTTGTAATATACTATTTGCTTTCTGAGTGAACATATTATTGTAAATGTGTACTGTAAATATGCATATGTCAAGCTAAAATACAAAATTCTTAGCTTTAAATATAGAGTCTGTAAATTAAAAAATCACGTTTCAAAGTATAGTTATTGTTTTAATTACTTTATGATAATGCTGTTTTTTCACATATTCAGCTGTTCCAGTTAACAAAATTGGTAAGCTCAAAATGCGTTGCTAATAGTTTGTTAACATTTAGACAACGGATGTGCATAAAGTTTAGATTGCGACAACGAATTGTGGCAATGTTGACAAAGTTGCGTGGTCAACATTACATATTGTTGTTGTATGTATGTATATTAGAATGATTCAAGCTTGTATGAAGGAAAAGTCTTACAGGCCGCCCCCCTCTAGAATTGTTCTATGGGTTGTAAAATTATGTCATACAAAAATTACGCTGATTACAGATGTTGCAACGACTCTGAAGTTTCCTGGCTGAAACTGAAAAAAATGTTTGTTTTTTTCTGTTATTCCTTTAATTATAGAGCATTATTTAAAAAGAGATTGTTTTTTCGATTTGTTTAACTTTGGTGTTAAACTGTTCCCAAGTGCCTTAAAGGGTTTATCTACCTTTCTTTCGCTCTATTTTAAATATCGGACTATATACGATAAATTCCAGCCATATATATTATTTCGATATGGTACACTAAGAATTCCCAAATACTGCAAAATTTGACCTTTGAACTCCACAGTTTGTGGGTTAAGAATGTCCGAATTTAATAAAACTTAGAAATATTACAAAAAAATTCGATTTTCCCGAAATCCGCCGAGTTCAAATCGCAGGTACAGCTAAACTGTAAGAAATATTGATCTAATTTTTTTACCGTTTAATAGGCTCATCTATTGGCCATAAATCCCCATGAGATCTCCTAAAATTTTTGGAATTTGTTTAACAAAGATTCAAAAACTGAAATTGGAGATTTGAAACGGACGTTGAACTTTTTCGACCATAGCTGAAAAGAAGTTTGCGTTATCATAAAAGGGCAAAAACTAATATTCGAGTAATTATAGATATATTTTAAGTAACAAAATGTTTTTTTAGAATGTATCCCAAAAAATTTTTTTGTCACATTTCGAATTCATGTGCCGTGGGACACCTTAATGGCCTGGGAAATTTGCAATAACTTTTAAAGTTTTCAAGCAATTTTTGTGTTACGATTCCTTTACAATAAAGTTACGATTCCTTTACAATAAAGTTCAAAATTTATTATTAAATGGCCAAATTTGAACAAAAACTGAAAAAATCGATATTTTCTCCTTGTATATGCACTTGAAAACTTCAGAGCCGTTGCGGCACCTGTTATAGCCTATCAGCCTAATTTTTTGAATGACATAGTTTCACAACCCAAAGAACAATTCTAGAAGGGCGGACGGGCCAAATTCGCAACTTCGTTTTTTTGGAGCACTCTAATGTATATACTTGACAATGGATGTTATTGAAAAATTTTGTATCAATTTGGTACCAGGCGTGCATATTTTTTTCTCTGTGTAGATAAGGCCTTTTGTTTTATGTCAATAAAATCGATAATTTTGTTTGGAGGAGTACAATTTATGACGTGGACATCTGTTTTGATGCAATACATTAGAATCAACAATAAAATCGATTTTGAATTTTTAGTTAGTTAGGGACGTTTGCGTTTCAGGTGACGTTATGTGCTCTTATAAAATTTATTTATTTTGAATTTCATGACATAAATGTTTTTAAGATAGTAATAAACGTAAAAGTCATCTTCTGAAGGAACATAATATGGGGACTTAAATGTGACCCGATCTCTATTTGATTAAGCGATTGTAGTTCTTTGAAAACTTTTTGATATCGATTTGTCTGACTTATACATATATTTAAGTCTATTATAAACCTTATCTGAAGGGAACGTTATATTAAATCTTTTGCTAAATAATGCTATTTAAATTAAACTCCTATATTTAAAACAAATAATCACCGCTAAAACTTTCTACAGTTTTATGAAGTTTGTGAACAAGTTTTCAAATAAAAGTATGTCTAGATGTTAGTTCGTAACACGTTCATATTCTTTGGAACTTTATAAAAAAGAAACAAATCAAATACCCACAAAATATTCAGTTTCTTATAGTATTTGTTGCTTCTGTTGCTTTCTATCATTTTATTATGTTTGCTTAACGCTTAAGTTAGAAATGTTAGGAACACGATTTCTGATATAAAGGGTAGTAAATAAGTAAGTGTTTTTATACCCTACACCATTGTTATATTAAGTATTTAATGGTTTATGTCAATGTTTATATCGGCCTACTCAAACACGAACTTAATCAGAATAATGTAACAAGAGCGTATTAATTATTCTATATGTTGTATATATCTTCTTTTTGTCTTAACAGTGGGGACTTCAACTACAAAGTGACCATCGAGTGATTACTATTATAGTTATTATTCAAACTTATCAAATATTAAAATACCATGTATATCAAAACATTAATACACATATACATCTAAATAAAGTACTATTTAGTATTATGTTGCAACAACCTCTACCAGGCATCTAGCAATATTAGTTGTAACATTTATACAAAATAAAATAGAACTACATTTGTATATAGAACTATTTTGTATCTTTCATATAGCAAAGTTTATTTCACTTCAGACCAAAAAGTTTATTATGTTGAAGTGAGGGAAAAAAGAAAAACGCGGACAAACACTTACAATTATATATAAACTCACATTAAGATATGTGTCTGCGAAAATATACACGTACATATATACATACGGAAGTATATAAAGATTTTCGTGTAAAAACATACTACATATGTATATCCATCTTGAAATACTAATACCAAACTTTTTTCTATATCTGCGGTAGTTTTTCTTCTACACGGTTTTTTCGATTTATTTTCATAAGTGTTTTTTATGTCAAGAACTGCTTTAAGTTTAAAAAAAAAAAAAAAAACTACTAAAAATTAAAATATCTTTGAAATTTCCTTCCGTTTTGGCTCTTTCTTTAGTTAGTTAGTTAGTTAGTTAGTTAGTTAGTTAGTTAGTTTAGTTAGTTAGTTAGTTAGTTAGTTAGTTAGTTAGTTAGTTAGTTAGTTAGTTAGTTAGTTAGTTAGTTAGTTAGTTAGTTAGTTAGTTAGTTAGTTAGTTAGTTAGTTAGTTAGTTAGTTAGTTAGTTAGTTAGTTAGTTAGTTAGTTAGTTAGTTAGTTAGTTAGTTAGTTAGTTCGTTCGTTCGTTCGTTAGTTCGTTCGTTCGTTAGTTCGTTCGTTCGTTCGTTCGTTCGTTCGTTCGTTCGTTTCGTTCGTTCGTTCTTCGTTCGTTCGTTCGTGTTTCGTTCGTTCGTTCGTTCGTTCGTTTCGTTCTTCGTTCGTTCGTTGTTCGTTTCGTTGTTCGTTTCGTTCGTTCGTTAGTTCGTTCGTTCGTTCGTTCGTTCGTTCGTCGTTCGTTCGTTCGTTCTTCGTTTGTTCGTTCGTTCGTTCGTTCGTTCGTTCGTTCGTTCGTTCGTTCGTTCGTTCGTTCGTTAGTTCGTTCGTTCGTTAGTTTTCGTTCGTTCGTTCGTTCGTTTTTCGTTCTTGTTCGTAACGGAAAAGTGGAAATGGTCTTGTCATAATAAGTCTTGTTGAACAGATTAGAACTCACAATATTTTTTTAGTTTTGTATGTATGTACATTTGATTATATTCTTATGTATTTCAACTTATTAAAATACTTATGGTTGTACGAATTTTATTTTGCAGCATGTAATTATCGTTTCTTAGAGAATTTGGCTGAAATACATATTTCTTTCCGTAATACACGTTTACACATACTTACACACATATAGTACATATAAATAATTTTCAAAATTAATATAAGATTT